CTGTATAACTGTAGCTCTGCCTCTGCCTGATACCGACTATCAAGTTATCTCTCTAACTGTGCTCGCTACTGATGGAGGTTATTAACTAATTAAATAATTAACTAATTAACTAATTATAATACGGGGAGTGGGCACTATACTGTATAACTGTAGCTCTGCCTCTGCCTGATACTGACTATCAAGTTATCTCTCTAACTGTGCTCGCTACTGATGGAGGTTATTAACTAATTAAATAATTAACTAATTAACTAATTATAATACGGGGAGTGGGCACTATACTGTATAACTGTAGCTCTGCCTCTGCCTGATACTGACTATCAAGTTATATCTCTAACTGTGCTCGCTACTGATGGAGGTTATTAACTAATTAAATAATTAACTAATTAACTAATTATAATACGGGGAGTGGGCACTATAACTGTAGCTCTGCCTCTGCCTGATACTGACTATCAAGTTATCTCTCTAACTGTGCTCGCTACTGATGGAGGTTATTAACTAATTAAATAATTAACTAATTAACTAATTATAATACGGGGAGTGGGCACTATTATACTGTATAACTGTAGCTCTGCCTCTGCCTGATACTGACTATCAAGTTATCTCTCTAACTGTGCTCGCTACTGATGGAGGTTATTAACTAATTAAATAATTAACTAATTAACTAATTATAATACGGGGAGTGGGCACTATACTGTATAACTGTAGCTCTGCCTCTGCCTGATACTGACTATCAAGTTATCTCTCTAACTGTGCTCGCTACTGATGGAGGTTATTAACTAATTAAATAATTAACTAATTAACTAATTATAATACGGGGAGTGGGCACTATACTGTATAACTGTAGCTCTGCCTCTGCCTGATACTGACTATCAAGTTATATCTCTAACTGTGCTCGCTACTGATGGAGGTTATTAACTAATTAAATAATTAACTAATTAACTAATTATAATACGGGGAGTGGGCACTATAACTGTAGCTCTGCCTCTGCCTGATACTGACTATCAAGTTATCTCTCTAACTGTGCTCGCTACTGATGGAGGTTATTAACTAATTAAATAATTAACTAATTAACTAATTATAATACGGGGAGTGGGCACTATTATACTGTATAACTGTAGCTCTGCCTCTGCCTGATACTGACTATCAAGTTATCTCTCTAACTGTGCTCGCTACTGATGGAGGTTATTAACTAATTAAATAATTAACTAATCAACTAATTATAATACGGGGAGTGGGCACTATTATACTGTATAACTGTAGCTCTGCCTCTGCCTGATACTGACTATCAAGTTATCTCGCTAACTGTGCTCGCTACTGATGGAGGTTATTAACTAATTAACTAATTAACTAATTAACTAATTATAATACGGGGAGTGGGCACTATACTGTATAACTGTAGCTCTGCCTCTGCCTGATACTGACTATCAAGTTATCTCTCTAACTGTGCTCGCTACTGATGGAGGTTATTAACTAATTAAATAATTAACTAATCAACTAATTATAATACGGGGAGTGGGCACTATTATACTGTATAACTGTAGCTCTGCCTCTGCCTGATACTGACTATCAAGTTATCTCTCTAACTGTGCTCGCTACTGATGGAGGTTATTAACTAATTAAATAATTAACTAATTAACTAATTATAATACGGGGAGTCGAGTGGGCACTATACTGTATAACTGTAGCTCTGCCTCTGCCTGATACCGACTATCAAGTTATCTCTCTAACTGTGCTCGCTACTGATGGAGGTTATTAACTAATTAACTAATTAACTAATTAACTAATTATAATACGGGGAGTGGGCACTATTATACTGTATAACTGTAGCTCTGCCTCTGCCTGATACCGACTATCAAGTTATCTCTCTAACTGTGCTCGCTACTGATGGAGGTTATTAACTGATTAAATAATTAACTAATTAACTAATTATAATACGGGGAGTGGGCACTATTATACTGTATAACTGTAGCTCTGCCTCTGCCTGATACCGACTATCAAGTTATCTCTCTAACTGTGCTCGCTACTGATGGAGGTTATTAACTAATTAAATAATTAACTAATTAACTAATTATAATACGGGGAGTGGGCACTATTATACTGTATAACTGTAGCTCTGCCTCTGCCTGATACCGACTATCAAGTTATCTCTCTAACTGTGCTCGCTACTGATGGAGGTTATTAACTAATTATCTAATTAACTAATTAACTAATTATAATACGGGGAGTGGGCACTATACTGTATAACTGTAGCTCTGCCTCTGCCTGATACCGACTATCAAGTTATCTCTCTAACTGTGCTCGCTACTGATGGAGGTTATTAACTAATTAAATAATTAACTAATTAACTAATTATAATACGGGGAGTGGGCACTATTATACTGTATAACTGTAGCTCTGCCTCTGCCTGATACTGACTATCAAGTTATCTCTCTAACTGTGCTCGCTACTGATGGAGGTTATTAACTAATTAACTAATTAACTAATTAACTAATTATAATACGGGGAGTGGGCACTATTATACTGTATAACTGTAGCTCTGCCTCTGCCTGATACTGACTATCAAGTTATCTCTCTAACTGTGCTCGCTACTGATGGAGGTTATTAACTAATTATCTAATTAACTAATTAACTAATTATAATACGGGGAGTGGGCACTATACTGTATAACTGTAGCTCTGCCTCTGCCTGATACTGACTATCAAGTTATCTCTCTAACTGTGCTCGCTACTGATGGAGGTTATTAACTAATTAAATAATTAACTAATCAACTAATTATAATACGGGGAGTGGGCACTATACTGTATAACTGTAGCTCTGCCTCTGCCTGATACTGACTATCAAGTTATCTCGCTAACTGTGCTCGCTACTGATGGAGGTTATTAACTAATTAAATAATTAACTAATTAACTAATTATAATACGGGGAGTGGGCACTATACTGTATAACTGTAGCTCTGCCTCTGCCTGATACTGACTATCAAGTTATCTCGCTAACTGTGCTCGCTACTGATGGAGGTTATTAACTAATTAAATAATTAACTAATTAACTAATTATAATACGGGGAGTGGGCACTATACTGTATAACTGTAGCTCTGCCTCTGCCTGATACTGACTATCAAGTTATCTCGCTAACTGTGCTCGCTACTGATGGAGGTTATTAACTAATTAACTAATTAACTAATTAACTAATTATAATACGGGGAGTGGGCACTATACTGTATAACTGTAGCTCTGCCTCTGCCTGATACTGACTATCAAGTTATCTCGCTAACTGTGCTCGCTACTGATGGAGGTTATTTACTAATTATCAAATTAATTATTAAATACTAATTTATTAATTGGAAATTCTTAGCGGATAGGTATATAATTGGAACGAAGAATTGTTTAAATTTAATTGGCTTTAAGCAGACACTCCCCACCTCTTGTTTACACACGGCTTGCACGTAGAGGTAGAGGAACTGTGTAATATGATATGTAATGTAGATAAAGGTAGTGTTTACAGAGCAGTGGTTTTAGAGGAAATGGTTTTTATTAAACAGCAGATATTAGCCAATCAGAACGTCTCATCTAAGTCACGTGACTGCTATTAACCAATCAGAGTCCAGGGATGTGAAGGTATTGTTTGTGGTCGTGGGAACATTCCTTGTAATGTGTGATGTACATCAACTGTAGATTAGATAGATTTACAGTACAAGTTAACAGATAGCGGATAGTGGTTCTTACTAGCTACTGTATAAATAACTTCAGAGAATAGATAAGTTAGTTATTCTCCTCTTTTCCGTCCTATTACAAAGTGATTAAGAGAAAAAGAAAGTACACATGATCTGACAGCAGCTATTCAACTCACTGCAGTCTTATTGGCTCTCAGCTAGGTCTAACACAACACTCTAACCCTAGTACACAACACTCAAACCTCAATACACACTAACACGGTGTGGAAACGTGGAGTGAGTCCTCTAACTCAGTACACTCTAACCTAATGTTATATAATGTAGTAACTAACCTGCCTAGTATTATAGTAACCCTGTCACGTGACCTGCACATTAGATTAGAGTACATTATATAATGTTTTACAGTAGGCCGGGTTACCAGGAATAATTAAACTAGTTGAGATGAGGGGGTCCTGCTGGGGAGGAACAAGTAGAAACAAAAACCCGATCTAAATCAGACTTTGCGTTCTGAGATATCGCGCGCGAAAGTTTGAGGTTTACCTTTAATAAAAAGTAGCACTGTAACCTTAAACAGGGTTAACCTCCTCGGACTCCACCCCTCTAGCCTTTAAGATATTTAGTGATTAAATACCCGCTCTACTATCTCCTACCTTATACCTTAGAGTATAGAGCTGACTTGTTTGGTTGTTTTAGATCACGTGATCCTACGTGTTGTAGCACGTGTTGTACCACGTGTTGTAGCACGTGTTGTAGCACGTGTTGAAGCACGTGTTGTAGCACGTGTTGTAGCACGTGTTGTAGCACGTGTTGTAGCACGTGTTGTAGCACGTGTTGTAGCACGTGTTGTAGCACGTGTTGTAGCACGTGTTGTACAACGTGTTGTACCACGTGTTGTACCACGTGTTATGACAGTGTGGAGAGGCGTGCTCTGTTTAACCTTGCACAGGTTGTCAGTTCATTAATGTGTGGTTCATTTTATATCATTAATCTGGTATATTACAAGAGTTATGTTGGTTATTAATGAATCTAGCTGTAAGTAAGATCCTGGTAGTAGTAGAGGGGTCATTAATACATAAATACTATTGCAGGGTTTAGTTTATTATAAATAAAAATAAGGTACAATGAAACGGATGCTCCCTAGTCCTCAGCTAAGTGTGGTTATCAAAAATACAGCTGGAGAATACACGACATCTAAAACTAACTCCTTTTGATTCCAAAAATGGGGGGGGGGGGGGGGGGGGGGGAAGGTAGATCCCCATTGCTCATTTATTCCTCAACTTTTGGTCAAATGGGGATGGACGGGGTGTCTGAATGTCTGTATAATTTCAGGTGGACAGCAAGGTAGATGTGACGTAGAGGTCTCAATATTCGGAGAGAACCAGTACCCTCCTGTGCTGGATGAGGAAGAGTATACTATCTCTGTTAACGAGAACGCCATCCCTCCCAAATCTCTGCTAACTGTTTCTGCTACAGATCAAGATACTATGTACTTTGGGGAGGTTAGTTTCACTCTTACTACCAGCGAGGTGAGGTAGTAGTGAGAGAGTAGTGAGAGAGTAGTGAGGTAGTCTTACTCTCACCTTATTATTTTACCATGTTTTTACCTGATGTTAGTATGAAACTGGTAATTGATTTATTAGTCAGTCCCTTAGCACTAAAACTTAGGAAAACTATTGAACAAATTATTCCATCTTGTTTACTACTCCCTCTCATATTGCAGGTCCACTACGAGCTAGCAGGTAGTTACGATAACAAGTTCTCAATAGATAAAGACACGGGAGAATTGAAACTGATAAACTCCCTGGACTACGAGACCAAGAGAATGTTTAAGTTCGAAGTGAGGGCAGTCAACAACTACGACGGTAGGTGTTACCAGGTGTTACTAGGTGTTACATACTAGGTGCAGTTACTAGGTGTTGCTATGTGTTACTAGGTGCCATCAGGTATAAGGTGTTACTAGGTGTTACATACTAGGTGCAGTTACTAGGTGTTGCTAGGTGTTACTAGGTGTTATCAGGTGTAAGGTGTTACTAGGTGTTATCAGGTGTAAGGTGTTAGGTGTTACTAGGTGTTACTATGTGTTATTATATGTAAATAGGTGTCACTGTTAATCCCCGACTTGTTTCAGGAACTACAGACAAGAAGGAAGACCGCGCTAAAGTTATTGTTATTGTTAACGATATTAACGACGAGTCTCCTCAGTTCGCTTTCGACAGGTTAACTAAATTCTTGTTTCATTATCATAAACATGGTTCTATATTCTTTAGTATCCCATTTACATACTCTATTCTCAGATAAGTAATTATTATCTCCCTATATTTGCAGATACAATCTGACTGCCTTCTCTGAAGATAGTAATGGAACTGTTATCGGTATTATCAAAGCTGTAGATCCTGACAGTGCTGACACAGGCATGGTAAGTAACCATGGTAACTAGTAGTGTTAAGAGGGAGAGTGAGGGGGGAGGGGTAAGTAGAGTAGTGACATATTACCATGGCCCATTTGTATTGGTGATCATATTTGGCGCCTTTTTTGTTCAATTTCACTATTTCACTCATATTTTTATAATATTTGCCACAAATTGTCTCGAATAAAGGGTGGTTTTATTGTCAGTATCTCATCAGAACTAAATTATTCGTATTGAGAAAAGGGGTCATATTTAGTATGTCTGTTTTGACAGCTCACGTTATTGTGGGTGTTACTAGGTGTTACTAGGTGTTACTAGGTGTAACTAGGTGTTACTAGGTGTTACTAGGTGTTACTAGTATAGGTGTTACTTGTATAGGTGTCACAGTGGTATTATGTCTTCATGTCAGGTATTTATTTTTCTTATTGATTTGTAACATCTTGAAAACTCATTAGTAAACTGGTTTATACTGTAAATAGTCCAGCTAATAGCTAAAGCGACGTTACTGATGTGACTGTACTGATAATATCCAGCCTAACATCTCTTGATAGTAACATATTACCATGACAACGCCTTGACATAAACAGTAAACACAATACATAAGACTAGTTGTTAGAAAGATAAACACATGTAATTTTATAAGATAATGAGACAATGAGATAAGTATATTTATATATAGAATAGTATTTCTCCTCTGTAAAAACTAAATAGTTATATCTTGGGCAGGTTGGCTGCCTATGTTTTGTTCACCATGTTGAGGGGGAAAAGGTGCAGGAGACCACCTACTCCACGATAGCATCTGATACAATATAATACAATATATCTTGAGCGCATAATCAGTACCTTCACACTAACACTCCTTCATCAATACATTCACACAAACGCTCCTTCATCAAAGCCCAATCATAATTTTTTAGTGAGTAACCTTAAAAATACACTATGTTTTAGTGCTCCTTCATAAAGCTCTCTGTTTCAGGTAACTTACAGGATAGTAGGAGGTAACGAACAGAAGCTCTTCAAACTCTCGTCAACCCCTCAGGGTGCTGAAATCAGAATAAATGGTAAATGCTCCTTCATAAATATTATAACTATATGAGTTTCTCGAGATTAATTGTCCTGATCTTTTGTTGGTGGCAAAGGTAATCGGCCATCATTTCCTTTATGTACTGCAATCAGAGCGTTTTGTTAAAAACTCCAAAAATCACAGCAGAGAGCTCTCCAAAATAGAATGGGGAGTTTAATTATCAGAATTCTCAACAATAAAAAAGAGAGAGCTCCAAAATAGAATGGAGAATTCTGTCCTCAGACTTCTCCAAAATAGAATCTCAGCCCTCAATGACCCCCAACAATATGTCGACGCTACCATTGCCGAAGAGAGCAATAATTGTGGAGATCTCAGAATTTAGAACTCTCCAAAATGTCCTTATATGGGCATCACGTATAAATATGTCTAAATTTCCAACTCTTATCTTGAGTAACGCTCCATTTGAACTATCTCTTTTATTTCCGCGTACCCAGCCCTCTCAAAAGTGGAAATGTAGGAAGTCAGGAAGTGGATTATAGAGTTACTTTCTGACTTATTTATCAAACTATAGAAAGAACATCTTAGTTAGATTAAGGAATTGATTAGAGGAAACTTAGATGAACTAACAAAAGAGCAGCCCTACTAACAACAAACCCCATCCTCTTCAGTTCACTTATTGTTAATTAATTAGCTAATTAGCTAACAACATAATCCTCCTGACAGGTAATCTACTGTACATGATAGGGAAGGATGTTAACGTAATATTGGAAGCTCAAGATAACAACCAAGACTTCTTTAACGGACACAGAGTGAGTAACTTGTAGTCTGGAGGGCCAGGGAGGAGGGGGGAGGGGGAGCCGGGGGGATCCATCGCACATTCCATTCTCTCTATATTTTAACTGATAAGGACTATCACAGATGATCCTTCCTGCTTGTTTATATCGTTATTCTTACATGGAATGTGCGATGTATCATGGTGAATAGAATTGGTAAAACATAAATAAATCGGTGGTTTTTTAATTTTTTTACCCAGGATTTTTTTTTGTGGTTTCTATTAACCAATGTAAACAGTTCTGGGTGAGAAATTAAAGCTAGCACACTCAGGAGCTAACTTTTTCAGACAAGCTCAGACTCACACAAAACTTAGCACGAAGTTGTGTTTAATTATGATTAACATTCTCTAAAAATTTGAATCAAAAATATTAATCAGAACGTAAGTTATGGCGCTTTTCCATTCTGAAATAAAATAATTAGTGAGATCTCAGCGAGCTGTTACAATTTTAAGAGATAAGGATGGGTAGACTTTTGAGGCCCACCCTGTATAACAACAAAGTCGGTGCGATTATAAACTAATTACACTGGTTATAACATCAGAGGCATGGAGTTATACGCGAATCTAACTGCATGTATAATACGATTACACCAGTTATTGCACTCGGCTGCGCCTCGTGAAATAACTGCAATAATCGAACTCGGCTTCGCCTCGTGCGATTATTGTATCAATTTCCACTCGGCTGCGCCTCGTGCAATTAATAGTGTAATCGCATTATACGCAGTTAGATTAGCGTATAGTATTTAGTAGCACTTAAAAGGTTTTAGAGGCCCCTTAAAATTCCTAACTTATTTGTAGTATCAGTAACTAGTAGTGTTAGTACAATAGTAATATCTATTATTATTTATCAGTATTCAGTGGAAATTATAGCTTATACTTTGTTGAATAGCTTTATCAGATCCTTTCTCAGGGAGTTTAAACTCAGAACTTAAATCCTACCGCCTAAAACCTGCTCCCTCATTTGCCCCTCTAAAACCTGCTCCCTCATTTGCCCCTCTAAAACCTGCTCCCTCATTTGCCCCTCTAAAACCTGCTCCCTCACTTGCCCCTCTAAAACCTGCTCCCTCATTTGCCCCTCTAAAACCTGCTCCCTCATTTGCCCCTCTAAAACCTACTCCCTCATTTGCCCCTCTAAAACCTACTCCCTCATTTGCCCCTCTAAAACCTGCTCCCTCACTTGCCCCTCTAAAACCTGCTCCCTCATTTTCCCCTCTAAAACCTGCTCCCTCATTTGCCCCTCTAAAACCTGCTCCCTCATTTGCCCCTCTAAAACCTACTCCCTCATTTGCCCCTCTAAAACCTGCTCCCTCATTTGCCCCTCTAAAACCTACTCCCTCATTTGCCCCTCTAAAACCTACTCCCTCATTTGCCCCTCTAAAACCTGCTCCCTCACTTGCCCCTCTAAAACCTGCTCCCTCACTTGCCCCTCTAAAACCTACTCCCTCATTTTCCCCTCTAAAACCTGCTCCCTCATTTGCCCCTCTAAAACTTGCTCCCTCACTTGCCCCTCTAAAACCTACTCCCTCATTTTCCCCTCTAAAACCTGCTCCCTCATTTTCCCCTCTAAAACCTACTCCCTCATTTCCCCCTCTAAAAACTGTGTAACAGGATATGTCACTGTATAATCCAGAGATCCAGCCTGTAATCTATTGTCACATTATTACGTCATGTTCCTATTCAGCCTGTGTAATCTATTGTCACATTATTACGTCATGTTCCCATTCTCCAACATGTTATCTGATACTGACCCTATAATCTGATTAACCAGGTCGGTGTGTTGTGACTTTATTAAATAACAGGGAGCTTTATATAGAGTGTGAGAGTGGACTGTAGCCTAAAAAGGTAGATTTAGGTTGTGCAAGGCTTCTTACTCGTTCACTAGATTCTCAAAATACAGTGTGATTTCATTTCACTTATCACTTCCCGTGTTTCTGAATCATTATCGTTATATTACTATACCGTATTATGTACAGTATACTCAAAACAGTGCAGTGTGCATCAGAACATACATAATTCCATATAAGGTAATGTTAAAGATCACGTGTATACTGTATCTCTATTACTGTATTATATTTCAAAGGACAAAGGGATTTGTTTTCTGTACGACCGCCCACGTGCAAATTTAACAAAAAAATAGTAAGTTGCATTTTAACAGTGTTGGGACGCGCACGTGCACGTGCACATATTATTATTAAAGCAACATTATAATATGTTTTGTTGTGATGTCCAAATAAGGTAATGTTCAATTAAACCTCATCTGAAAGGCCATTACAAGCGTGTAACTAATTAGACTTATTATCACTACAAATACCGTGTAATGTGAGTTCAAATACCGTGTAGTGTGAGTTCAAATACCGTGTAGTGTGAGTTCAAATACCGTGTAGTGTGAGTTCAAATACCGTGTAGTGTGAACCTTGTGTAGTGTGTAACTCTCAGGTCTGAAAATGTTAGGAATGTTTAGACATCGTCTCCGGTGAGAATGATTTGAACAGTAAACAGAAACATGAAGAAGTAATGTTGTGTGTTACTACACTGTATAACACACACTACGTATTATACAGTGTAGTTACTTCAGACCACCACTGTCCACTAAGGAACCTGTATAGGTCTGAGAGTGTATGATAATATGTATTACACTATGTTAGTATAGTGTACTGTGCTTGTGAAGTATTTAGTGAAGTTAGTGTGAACTGTTACACTGTATTATCTGAGTTTAGGAGTAATTTCTCAGTAAGTTGTAGGGGTTTCTAGTTATCTATCTACTGTTACCATGACAACTATCCACTGTTACCATGCCAACTAGTAATCTATATGAAAAACTCTATCAGTCTAACATCTACATCAAATTAACTTGTACACAAATTTGATCTACCAATAATGGTGCTAGATCAGGACACTTTCCAGTATGAACAACACTAGCCCAGGTTAAGATGATGTAGTACACTTTAATAACAACTCCCCCTGGCCCTGCTCCCCCTGCTCCCCAGCCTACTAACCAGTCAGCCTGCTCCCCCTGCTCCCTTACCTAGCCTGCTACCCAGTCAGCCTGCTCCCCCTGCTCCCTTACCTAGCCTACTAACCAGTCAGCCTGCTCCCCCTGCTCCCTTACCTAGCCTACTAACCAGTCAGCCTGCTCCCCCTGCTCCCTAGCCTACTAACCAGTCAGCCTGCTCCCCCTGCTCCCTTACCTAGCCTACTAACCAGTCAGCCTGCTCCCCCTGCTCCCTAGCCTACTAACCAGTCAGCCTGCTCCCCCTGCTCCCTTACCCAGCCTACTACCCAGTCAGCCTGCTCCCTTACCTAGCCTACTAACCAGTCAGCCTGCTCCCCCTGCTCCCTTACCCAGCCTACTAACCAGTCAGCCTGCTCCCCCTGCTCCCTTACCTAGCCTACTAACCAGTCAGCCTGCTCCCCCTGCTCCCTTACCTAGCCTACTACTTCTTAGTAGTACGTTTACATTTTGCATCGATTTTAATAGCTCTGATATATCTACCGATATAAGCAATATTTGCTTGTAACGTGTGTAAGAGCTTAACCTTCTTATTACACCTGTTATACACGGTGTGTATACAAGTGTGCAACACAGTTGTTTTCGAAGGATTATACATATTACTGGATCGATGAGTGTACACGACTTCTCTAGCGATGAACTGCTCATCGGGAAGATTAAAGCTTTAACTCCAGAAACTGAGATTAAGGTCCTCTTAGATGCATACCAAAGCAACAAGTCCCTTGAGCAAAATGTGGACCTGCTAGGTAACTCTAGAACTATCCTTCAGAAACACCTAGCTAATGCGGTAAAGCTTCTCCAGTCTATGGATAGCGACTATCCAGTTCTTGCGGAACGAATTTCTACCCTAAAAAGCGGAAACCACCTAACCAAGGCGGTAGCTGCTACGGCGATTGTGCAGTTTATCCAAGACGCACGTGCAATTCGCTGTCTGAAGTGCAAGGCCGACTTTACCCCCTACTCCTCGGACAACTCGCCCAGCGAAGTAATATGCTGTCGTTGTAAGAGACCCGGTCACCGTGGTTGTTATACTGACACGCATGTTGACGAGGAAATAGGAGTTGTATTTCTGTGCGGCGAGTGTCTCTCCAGCTGGAGTCAACCGTCACCACAGCAAACGGAGCAAATTCTCCCTGTTACTGACCAGAAGGATGTGATAAGCAACAACATATGGTCAAGTTCGGAGACAACCTGTACATAAAATCAGTCACTAATTACACTCATTTCACTGCCATAAACGGTAAAATTAATTATAATTCCTCTGAAAGTTCAAGGGGTACATGCTCTTCAGATATTATACTCCTAACCTTTCTATAATGATATCTGGGTTCAAAATTTAAATAACTCAACCTTGGTGGAGACAGTGGCCACCTGAAAATTACAAAAATAAAGGAGCTGTAAATCACTTATGAAAAAAATATTTACTCCAAATTTCACAATTTAAAGTTACGTAAGACAGGTGGGTACTCAAAAAGTGCCGGTTGAGCAGGTTTGTCTGCTCAACACAGGTGGAGCAGCTCACTGACTACATGAGCTAATATAAGTGACTAGAACCAACCCTCTCATGCTTTTTAATTGCTCCAAAGTCCTAATATTTAATATTATGGGTTATACCAATCATATTTCATAGAATAGGATCCTCAGAATCGGCTCAACCGAGGTGGAGACAGCATAACATGCAGTTCAAAATCTGTTATTCTGTAGTTTAGGAGCTGTAGAGTGACTGTGGCAGTCCATTTGCAATACCAATGATTCTAAATCATCTACCAACTCATATTACAAGGCATCCTTGCTGAAAAGTACACTCAACATAGGTGGAGACTCAAATTTGGCAAATTTTGGCGTAAATTTGACCTCAGAAGTCAAGGTTCTCCACCGCGGTTGAGTGGTTGATGGCTAGTTTGATGAGTTGTATACATGCTAAAGGGTCACCCAATGTTATTTCTTCCTGAAATCAACTGCCAAAG